CGATCTTCATAATGTTTATGGAGATGATTGAAATGCACGTAACTTTTGTATCACTTGGTGTATAGAAAAATTATACTTGGTAGGACAAAAATAACGGTAAAGCTTGTACGTAGCAAACCTAAATTATACTAAATTCTGCTGGTAGCATAATTCTGGACACCTAGGCAGGGTTGGCCAATAGACCAAAATGTGGCTTAGCAGTCTTAATGGACATTGTCCATTGGGCCAATGGATAATATCCATTGAGATTTTTTAGAGCCTATCATAGTCCATTGCTAACCCTGACCCTAGGTGCACTTGATTTAGACTTTAGACTTAATATACGTTGTATTTAGAATTTTACGTATTCAGAAAAAACCTTTAATTAACAGTTATATCTTTTGCTTAATAATACGCAACAAATCAAAGAGAAATAATGACACTTCAAAAGAAAAAGGATCGACAATATTTATTCTTTCACCTATTCATATATTATACAATATTGTTATCGTTGAACAGCTTTGGACATGAGTAGATATTTTTGAAAAAAAAACAATAATAATAAATAAAAGGAAAATTATAAGTATAACACCGTGTTATATATCGCACCATAACACGTGATCTAAATTTGTATATAAATAAATTTGCCTGTCACGTTATTTGATCGCTCAGTAGCTAGTGCTAGAACATTTGTTGCGAAGGTGTTAGGCGATTTTGCTACTTACAAGGTTTTGTTGCCTCTTGCTCTTTACAAGGTGTCAGGTGGCTTGTTTTACGTCTATAAAGGTGTGAGTGACTTTTTTTTACTTCGATCAAAACGTTAGGTAGCTTTTTTTGCATTATAAAGTGCCATTAAGCAAGACTTCTTTTTTAACGGCATTTCTTATACAAAATTCTAGGTGTTTTCAGATGTCGCGTGGTTCTTTTCTTTCCCCCTTTTCCTTTTTTACAAGTTACAGGTTCTCAGGTAGGCGTCAGATTACTTTTTTTCGTTTAAGGCATCAGTAAAATATTAGGTAACTGAATTTCATTAACGACACTTCCTGCCATTACAAAAATTCCAGGTGTCTTTTCGTTCTACAAAAGTGTTACTTGGCTCTTCGTTTTTTTTTACTTGACGTTTGGTGGTTTTTATATTTTTTAGTCTCAGGTAGTTTTGTGCATTCATATTGGTGTCTGATAAGATAATGTTAATTGAACATCTTATTAACGGGTTCTTCCGAATAAGCCAGGGTTCTTTTCACTACTATAAAGGTGTCAAGTTGCACTTCGACCTTATAAAGGTGCTAAGTGGTTCTTTCACCGTAGAAGACTTTTTTTTATTCTGCCTTTATAAAGGTTCGATCGGTTTTTGCTTTAATCAAGGTGTCAGATAAATTTTTTTGCCTCATTTGCTTCATAGAAGTGTTTGGTGAAATATGTCAACTGAACTTCTTTTGTTAACAAGGTTTTCTTTCTTTTTTTTGTACCTTCATAAAGACACCAGGTAGTTTCTTAGTTGAAGTGCTGTGTAGTTTTTCTAATTGAGGCGTTGGGTGGTTTTTAAAGTGGTATGAATATTAGTGTTTGCTAGTGTTTATATTCATGAAAATGTAGAACATTTCGATACTAATTTACCTGTATTCTTTAGGTGTTAATAATTATTTTTTTCACGCTTTCTCTGGCCTTTTTTCCAGCTATTATTTTTACATTTCTTCTTGATCTCTTGATTTTGGACAATAACGACTTATGGAGCTTTCCTCCGGTCAAGCTTTAGATTTGAACTTCTCTCAAGAATTATTGGATTCTGCTCAAGAATTAATGGACTCATCTCAAGAATTATTGGAATCATCTCAAGAGTTAGTAGAAACATTTCCTGATGAAGAGCGTGATGAAACGCATGATGAAACGCATGATGAAGTGCATGATGAAGCGCATAGTGAAGCGTATGATGAAGTGCATGATGAAACGTTTGATGAAGTGCATGAAGTCCATAAAGGACAAGATTTGGTTGGGATTAATGATCCGTTACCTCATATTAATAAACCAATTGTATTCGCTATTGATGATACTTTTCCTAACTGGCTAATTGCAGAATATTATGTTACTCAATATGGCCGCCAAAAGGGATTTGTTGCAATTAAGATACGTTGTAAAACTGATCATAATGGGCATTTAACAAACCTGTATTATAAATGTGAATTTGGTGGAACATATCAATCAAAAAAGACTAATAACTTACAAAATCAACATAATAAAGGCTCTAAAAAAATTAATTGTGATTGGAAAGTTAACTTGTCATCTGCAACTAGTATGATTCATATCACTAGTTTTAATGATCACCATGTTGAGCATCAACTTTTACCGGATACAAATATTTTTGCCCCAGTAAATCGCCGGTTTTCTGATGATTGTCATGAAGAAATTCGGCACTTGGTAGTAAATGGTCAGTGCGACTTGTCGACAATAAGGTCTCTTATATCTGCTAAATTCCCTAACCAGCTTTTTTTAACACGTGATCTTGCCAATGTTGTGGCACAATTACGATGAGAACATAAGGTGGAAGGAAATAATGCGTCTAGGCTTTTATCACAACTCTATGAATGTAGAGAAAAGGACTTTAATTGGTATATTGAACCCTTAATCGATTCTATTAGTAATCGTCTTCGTGGAATTTTTTGGATGGACCTGGGTCAGCGTGAAAGATGGATACGATTTAGTGACATAATAGTTCAAGACAATACAGCACAAACAAATCATTATAATTTTCCTTTGTGCCTCTTTGTTTTAATTGATAATCATAACAAAACTCAAATTGCAGCACAGGCTTTAATGCCTGATGAAACGATTGAGTCTTTCCGTTGAGTTATCGAACAATTAAAAAAAGCAACTGGAGTTTCTCCAAGAGTTTTAATGACAGATGAAGATCTTGCTATGAAATATGTGGCAGCTCATGATCTTCCAAACACAAAGCATTTGTTTTGTTTATATCATTTAAGTCAGAACATTCTAAAAAATCTTCGAAGTAAACTCGGTGAACAGTATGCAGAATTTATTAAAGAGTTTTATTTGGCACGTAATAGTTTGAGCGAAGGTGTATTTGAAGCACGATTTACAAGCCTTTTAAATAAATATCCGACTGCATCTTCATATCTACATAAGCTATTTTTAAATAAAGAATCATGGGCATGCGCTTATACGTTTAAAATTTTTAATGGTGGAATGCAATCAACTCAAAGAGTTGAGGGGCTTAATAATCATATAAAAACTGCTATTAATAGTTCATCAACATTGTTACAAGTAATAGAAGCAATACAACAATGTATTGAGCGTGAAAATTTTAATGAACAGTTCAATTTATGGTCTCAGGAACGAATTAATTATAATGATAATATTGTTTTACGTTCTGTTTTTTCAGAAATCGTCCAACAAATCAATAAATATTTAACTCCAAATCTAGCAACTGAGCAACAAAAACAGATAGTTCAATCAACGATATACCATGCTCAGATATTCAATGTATGTAGGTAATAATTGGAGTTATTGTATTTGTTATTTTAATTAACTAATTCTACTTTACAGTTGTGGGACTCTGATAATTCGTTAAACTTACAAGAAATTACATACAATAATGATTTTATTGAGAACATTTATGACATTTCACAATTATATTTATTGGCTCTGATTAAAGAAAATGAATATTTTTCCGTTAAAGAAGTTTGAAAAACCACGTGTTTAACTTCAGCTAAATCTATTCACTATGTAATACTGTATGAAAATAGTCGTCATATATGTACTTGCCTTTTATTAATTAGTCATGGACTTGTGTGTCGGCACTTTTTTTGTGTGTTACTTGAATCGGACTTTGCGAGATTTCATATAATGTTGCTACCAATTCGATGGTGTAAGGATAATGTGACTGAATCGGAACGTGCACAAGAGCTATTTCTAACATCAAGTCGAAATACTGAATTAACACCGATTATACATCAATTAAGTAATGCGATGAGCATGAACTTACTTAGAATTGATGATATTCAGGAAAATAACCTTCAAAAATCAATAAATAAAAAGTATCAGTATAACAAATCAATGAGCCTCGCAAAGAAAACTATTACATTACAGGGTGAAAGTGAAAATGACAATGAATTAGATACTATCTTGAAAAATTATATTGAAAAGAAGATACTTCAGCATGAAAAAGAAACTAAAGAAAGGGAACAGAGAGTTCTTAGAGAAAATTACAATTTAGAGAATGTTTTAGCTGTAAAGACAGATAACGAACAAATAATTTCTATCGATGATGTTGCTAATCCTTTACGTCATGTTGGAAAAGGGGCTCCACGCAAGAATCGTATTAAGGGTGTGCAAGAAGAATATCAACCAAAAAAGAAAGTTAAATCAAATACAGGTACCGGTACCAGACTTTGTGGATACTGCCATGAACCCAATCATTATCAAAACATGTGTCCACAAAAAAGATCTAACCTAGAAGAGTAATGGTAGGCGTTTATTTCACATGCTCAATTCAAAAAAAAAATACGAATTTGCTTGTATTGTACTAGTGGTGCCAGGAGAAAACCTGAAATTCGGATTTTCTCTTGACAACACGTGTCTACTTTTTTTTATAATAATCAACCAACGGATACATGGTACTTCTGTATGTTGTAAGTATTTTTATTAGTACCCTTTTTAATAGTTAGGGTTAGGGTAAGCGCTATTGTTGTCTTTCTTCTTGTTAGAGGTTATTAGAAAAAAAAACTTTGTTTGACGAATTTTTTTTTACAAGCCGGGTTAGCTACTAACTAAGTTTTTTTTTTATCTTGAGATTAGGCGAGTCCTAACAAGGTTTTTTTTTATGTTAGGGTAATGACAATTAATCAGATAGCATTTTTTTTTAAAAAAAAGGTTCTCTTTGCATGAGGTTAGTTCAAGTAGCTTTTAGATTGCTATACTATCATATTACGATTTGAATAAATGCTAATAAGCTTCTTTCATGTTCGATAATAGGATAAATGCCTTATTTCTCATATTGAAGGTCGGTAAGTTAAAGCTTGCATTTAGGGTTAGATAACTTTTTTTTGGGTATTTGACATTTCAGTTAATCGTTCTGGAAAACGTCAACAAGCGTTAACGAAGTTCTTTTTATTACATACAGTAAAACGATGATCGGTTATATGCTCTAGAATTAGGTCGAATAATAATTGATCAAGACGTTTTATGTTTAATAAAATCATTTGTACTGCTTATTATGTGCAATACTTTACACTTACCTATCGTACACATGTATATGTCTACGTACGTTATAACGTTATGTATGTACGAATTTAGCTTAGGCGTGAAATAAATTTTGTGTAACATTATGCAATGTAAATTTACCGATTCATGTCACGTGATAGGGTGTTATATAACACGGTGTTATAAATATAATTTTCCTAAATAAAAATAAATTGTAATTATGCAAAATTTTATTATGACCATATAATTTTTATTTTAATTGCTAAACTTGACTTTGGTTTTTTACTTCACAACCTATTGGATTAGCTCTAGTCGTTTAGATGACACTATTTTTAGTAAACTAATGTTAAGTCTGATATCGGATCATTAATATGGTTTATTATAATTGATACCGATACGGTAACCTATCCAGTTAACTCCGTCTAATAATTATTTCACCATTCCGAATATTGTCTAATATCTAATACTAACCAAGAATTCTAAGAAAACGTTCAGAATTTGAATTCATATGGAAATTTAGAACCAGATTTTTTCGTGTCCTGAACGAGGATTAAAGACTATAAATAGTTGTCAGGATATAGAAATATTGTGATAATTATTGAATCTTGATTATGCATTTTATTTCCGAAGAACTCTAGATAGAAAGTGAAGAAACAAGAGAATAGAAAGTTGAAAAAAAGGTGATTGGCAAAGCTCTTATTGAATGGACAAGTTGGTTTACTTCAGGGTTTAAAATTCCATAGTATTTTTCCGGAAATTTACTGCGCAAATACTATTATTTGAGATGTTTTTGATCCATCAAAAATTAAATATAGTATATTGCATGTATTATGCAAATAATCGAAAGTTACTCATTGAAACTCTTTCATTCTTTACAATTTAAAAGAATCAACGCTCTTCCATATGAACACTAAGTTACCAATCGGATCTCTTCAAATTTAACAGTTATACTAATTAGGAATGAAATTTTTCATGCAATCAATATATATCGATCGATATATTTTTAACCTTTTGTTAATTATTGCTTATTATTACTTATTTTACGATTATTAATTATTTTACGATTCACAAATACAACTTTAAAAGACGTGTTTCTAAAGTTAAAAATCTTCTGATAATGTTGCATTTGCAAATATTACTTACTACGTAATAAAAAATATTAATATACTGTAAGTTATATTATATTGCCCATCTATAATACTTAACCTGATTAGTTGCATTGCAATACTGTGATGTTAACTCTTGTTATAATTAATTACAAAATAATATAATATGGATGCGACAATCACCAATCAATTATCAAGACATTTGCTACAGAGGGAAAACCTGGAAATGAATATTTAGGTTATCACTGTAGCGGACTTATCGTATTATAATACTACAGTGATAACTTAAATATTCATTTCCGGGATTCCTCTCTGTAGCACTCATAATATTAGTAAAAAAGATTTACGTATTCTTGCACAATAGGAATTTGAGTTGAAGTTGGAATGTCAGAAGAGTAAAGACCATTCATATCTTTTGGTTATCGATTATAATAAATCCTTCCGTATTCACATTGGTATTTATTACAACCCCATCATGTACGTATAGTACGGTAGCAAAAAATTCATGTCAATGCCAAAGTTGATGAAAGATAGTAGGTGTCTGAATAGATGGAACTTTGAAGTAACATTTGTCTTAGGAAATTTGGACGAAATTGCTGAATAATTTGATATATAAAGTATTATATAATATGATTTTAGACAATAAAAATACCGTACAACCAAATTTTTTTGAATTCATTTAGGTTCAACTATAATTAGTAATTATAATTAATATGAAACTATGTTCGGTACTCTTAAAGTTGCTTTAGCAGATGTAAAGATGTCTTAAAGAGTATATCAATATCTGTTAGAATTTGTTATTGAAATGTGTCCAAAGGTCTACAAAAATTGACCCGGCCGAGTTATGAAAACCAAGATATTTAATTTTGTTTGGCCTTATAAAGTGTGCAGCTATATATCTTAGCAACAACTAGATTTTTAATATTCAAATAAAAAATTTTCAAAAAAAAATTTCGCAGAATTTAGTTAGATGGTTGTTGAGATATCTTCGATCAAAGTTAAATACTTCTCAGTATATGATACTATAAATTACGTCATAAATACGTAATAAAAAGGATTTGCCATTTTCGATACGTAGTAAGAATAAGATTATAGAAAAGATGGGTTAGTTATATTAAAAAATCTTTTAATTGCTCACTTTATAGACAATCATTTTACAGACAACTTATTTCACATACAGCTCATTTTACAGAATTGTCAGTAGAATTATGGTTAGAAGAAGTATCTTTATTTATTTTTATTTTTGAGGTAGAGAAAAAGTTCGCGAATCACTTGAATAATCAGAAACGAATCATTGTTTGTCAGAATTAAGAATTGAAATCAGTGTTTGAAATTTAAAATTTAATTTTTAGTGGTCTGAACCTTAATAAAAATCAACTTGCAGGATTTGCTGCGCATATAAATGTAAACCGAAATCTTTTTTTATTCCTATAATTGATATTTGAATCTCGTCCTAGTGAATGTGTATTATATTTGCTCTTTTACCAGTCGTAACAATATAATGAAATATTTTATTGTATATTTCTATCGTGCAATACCAGTTTTAATTAATTTTGCACTTGTTTATTATCAATAATAAATAAATGCACTAGTCAAATACAAAAAACTATACATTATTGCAAAAAAGTTGTTAAACGAAACTATTTTTATTATTTTATTATGGGAATTTCTATTTCACCCGGTTGTTAATTTACTTTAGGTTTAGAATACGGCCTGGGATTTTATCTAAGCATTAGTATATGCAAAATTTTACAAGTAATTTTTTTTGTTAGAGCCTACTACTGTAATACTATTAGTTTTAGTCACGCGAATGTCATAATAGTCTATCGGGTGACTTTAACCCGGGTAAAAATAGAATTTCCTTTTTATTATTATTACATTTATTATATATCGACAAACTAAAATTTTAAATTTTATTTATCGTAAAAAAATTCAAATTTTGATATCTGATATAAACTTTCAACCTAGTTATAAAAAAAAAAAAAAAAAAAAAGGTGAGTAAGTATTAAAGTAAAAAATTATATAACATAATATCTTATGTTCAAAAGATTATTAACTCTTCAAAATTCATATCTATATTACAGGGTTTTTCTTTTACACTTAGTATTTTCATTACTTCATTTCTGATAATGCTTGTATTATGCTAAATTTTATGCTACGTATAGTAAATATATATTTTTTTTCGGTCACCGTAGTCAATCAAATTCACAATATATAGTATTTTTTATTAATAAATTTTTATATACACAATACAGTATTGAACTAAAATGTTTTAAACAAAAAACTATAAATATTTGACGAGATAACTTAGTTTCGGAGATTAAATCTCCTACTTATCCCAACCACCACGAAAAGGTGTATCTCATCGGTTGGGAAGGTTTCCCCCAACCCATCTCTCCCATTAGGAGTAGGTTGTTCTATCTCGAAAGACAGCTTTCAATAAAAAAGTTCTAAAAGAAAACAAAAATAAGTATTTAAAATTTTAACGTCTTAATAGACGAAATCAATTTAACGTCGAGATAAGACAGCCTCTAATGGTTTTTTTGACTGTTTAAGGAAGATACATAACTAATTCCTCTCTTAAGAACATTAGACCCTTAAAAAAAAGTCTAGTCTTTTCGGAATTAGTAGACCTTAAACGGGGGTTGGTCAAAAAAAAGTCTAGAGTAAACTTATATTCCGTCTTGTCGCGAAAGTTCTAGTCTTGTTTATAAAATTTAAAGAAGATATAGAAGATATGCAAAGTAAAACCATGAGTATATATTTAAAATAAAATAAAAACTTTTTCTAAACAACACCTACTAATTAATATCGTTAGGTGTTTCTTCTACGGTATCTTGCTGGTGTGATGGTGTGAAGGTGTGAAAGTTTTGTTTTTTTTGAAACTAGTGGTTTTATAACTGATAACATGTGATCATCAAACACATACATATATATGTCATCAAAACACATACTTACGTCACCAAAATTTAATTTACGTAACATTGTGTAGCACATGATGATCATCATATTACACAGACGCGTAAATATGCATATTATGTTACATTAAAGTACCGAATATAGACACGCGTGCGGTAGGGATGAGAATCGAATTTTTGATAATCGGTTTAATCGTTAATCGAATTAGAATCGATTCTCATTTTTGTGTAATCATTA